ACCACACACACACACACACAGCAAGGCCTCCTTGGCAGGATTCAGTTCTGTGTCTGTACCCACCCTCCCCATGCCACTGCCACCGTCTGCTGGATCCTGCAGTCAGTGGGGCTCTGTTACTGTCTCCTTCCCCAGAATCTAACACCTCAGTGAGTCCTCAGGGCTGCCCCAGGGTCTGGGTCATAGTGTGTGATCCATAAATGTTGGATAGATGGTGAACAAATGAATCCTCAAACCTCAGATCCAGCCAACTGAGCGTGGGTGAGGCAGTGGCCATGTAGGCTCTGCCCCATGGAGCCTGGTGAGGAGACAGACATGGACACACAGAACCCCAACCCTGTGCTGAGGGAGAGAGCCTCAAGTTGCTGGTGGAATCGAGAAAGATGGGTCATACACCTCTTGAGGCTGGAGGGCTTCTTGGAAGAGGTTTTCTCAGAGGTGGGCTTTGCACGACTGCTGGCGGTTGTCCCTGCCTGGACAGTCCAGGACTGGGGTCAGCTTAATGGTGTGAGGTATAGTAATGCAACAGGAAACACCATGAGCCTTTACCGTATGCCAGCCACTGTCCCCAGAGTCCTTCCAACAATTCTAGAGGCTGTTATACAGTCATTCCCACTTTATAGATGGGGAAACTGAGGCACAGGGTGGTATAACCATTGAGCAGCAGAGCCAGGATTTGGACCCAGGTAGGGTGGCCTTGGCACCTCTTCCAGCTACACTGTATTGCCTTTCAGGGACTCTGGCCCTTAACTTTGATGTAGGTCGCTGGCCTGAGGCTGTCCTCAGTTGCTGGTGATATGGCACGTGGTTGAGCCCACTTTGTCTTTTGTGTTCCAGGTCACTTTCTGGGGAACAACACGGTCATCGACGTCCTTCGGCAGGCAGGGCTGGAGGTAGAGCACACGCCTGCTGGGCAGACCATCTACAGGTGAGCAGCCGGGCATCTGGGGGCGTGGGACTGGCTGCCCTGCTGCTGCCAGTCCACGGGCCATGCCTGACCACGTGCTGCATGGCAGGCTGCACCTCGCCTTCCTGCTCAGGCCTGCAAGGGAGAGTCGTGAAGAAGCCTCTGGTGAGACCAGGTCTCCCAGGGGCCAGCCTTGACCAGGCTTCCAAGAGTGGGGACTGGGCTGGAGGTGGGGAGAGAGTGGAGGCTGACGTGCAATCCTGGCAGGAGGTCAGGGCGGCAGCGGGGGGCAGTGGCGGTGGGAATGGAGGAGCATTAGGTTTTGAGAGATACTCCAGGTTTAGAGACTGGTAATCAGGTCAGGTAGAAGGACTCTGTAGGACTCCCGAGTTGCTGCCTAGAAGACCTGGGAATGCCCAGGCCCTGAATGGAGATGAGGTCATGGTTAGGACGAGCAGTGGCCTGATCTCTTCCCTGTGGGGAGCTCAGCCTTGCTCAGATCTGGTCCTTGCCTTTCTCTGACCACATCTTCTCCAATGTTGCCTCTTGGCTCTGTCCCTCACCCTGACTTTCCTGCCAGGGCACACTCACTCCACCCAAAGAGCCATATAGGGCCATCTTCTCTTCCTGTGGGAGTTTCCTGTCCCCCATCTCCACCTCGGGTACAAGTTTCCCAAGAGCAGGGGTTGGCCGGCTCCACCTGTGGTCCACAGTGCCAGCCTCAGGCCAGGCATGCAGAGGTGTCAGCGCGTGCTGGGTGGCCCTGGAAGACAATGACAGAATCCTCAAACTTGGGGGTTCCGTGTGGCTCATGCTCCAACCATTGAGCAGGAGCCTTCCTCACCAGGCCACAGGGATGGCCACAAAGGAATTCCGGTCCCCTTCCATGGTGTTATAAAACCCAGAGTCCAAAAGAAGCTTGACTAGTCAGAGCTAATGGTTATTGCCTTCTCGCTGCATACTGGGCTCTTAGAGCTTTTTAACTCATTAAATCCTCACAACCACCACTGGGGGAGGAACTATGAGTATCCCCACCTTAAAACTGAGGAACCTGAGGCCCAGAGACGTGAAGCCACTTGCAGAAGGACACACAGCTCCTGTCAATGGCAGCCTGGCTCTAGGGCCTCCCTAAGGGCCTAACCACAACCATACTCCCTCAGGGGCTTGGGCTGGGGCTCGAGGGTGGGAGTGCTCAGAAGTGACTGTGGCCCTGCTCTTCACATCTCATCTGCAGAGATGAGGCCTGGGGTCTCCTGGGGTCTCCTGGGGCATCAAGCCTCTGGTCTCCTGGCTCTGGGCCCATGCCCTGCCTGTCTCCATGGCACTTCTAGGGGAACTTGTAAATACTCTCCTGTTGGACTCCTCCCTCTTCTCATCTTCTGAGTCAGCCTGACCAGACTGCTCTTCCTGAACCTTTGCACACAGCACAAATCAGTTTGTACTGGGCCAGGGGTAGGCGTGTGGTTGAGCGCTGAGGGACCCAAGGTAGCCTTGGGGACAAGACCTTCCTCAAGCTCCCCCTCCCAGCCCCAAGGACCTTCATGTAGAAGCTCATTGTGTCTATCTGGACAGGGCGGGGGGCGGGTGGGCTAGCAAGGCTGCCTCAGCTCCTATTCAGCTCAGAGCCCAGGCATTAGAGGAGGGGTCCCCCTACTCCCCCCAGGCCCTGCTCTCAGCCCAAGTCTCCAAGTGCAGCCTGAAAGCCTGTGGCTGAGGTGAGGGGTGGGGAATGCCGAGGAGGCCCCAACAATAAAAGCCATCATCGGCCACAGGTGCTTCCTGGATCCATCCTTTTGTCTGCCTGTTTTGAATTATCTCCCCAGCAGCTGCGGCATCTCCTGGACCCTGGGAATCTGGGGTTGCCGTGGAGGCTGGGGGAGTACAGGCTGAGATGATGGCCTTTTGTCCTTCAAGGAGAGAGAAGCCCCTCACCCCATCGTGCATGCCAGAGTGGAGTCAGGGGACAGGCTCCCTTGGGCACCTCCTTGCCTTTGTAATTCCCAGAACCATTGCCCAACTTCCCCCCCAGGTCAGATGTCCCCAGAGGAATTCCATGTGGACCACAGAGAAGGAAGAATAAAAGGGAAGGGAGCAGAGGGTGTCCCCAAGGGGTGTCTGTGCCCCTCTGTGTGGAATGTGGATTCCGCATACACACACACACACACACACACACACACACACACACACACTACTATCTCGTTCTAGTCGTCCTCGCTGCGAGTCGACGTCCGTTCCGTTTCGTCGTTGGTTAGGTTACGGACCTTACGTTTAGGTTTTACGGTA